TTTCTGTTTTTATTCCAATGTTCGTCTATGCTCCATCCCAACAAGGAGACCTCGATCAGTTTTCTTTGGAAATTCCTTACAGTAATTGCATAAAGGGGAAAAATCCCCTTCCCTGCCCTCTTTGCTGCTTGAGGAGAGGATAAAATCTGACTTTTCCTCCGAGTTTTCCCCAAATCCTCCCAGTTTGGTGATCTTATGCTGGGGATCCACGAGCTGCTCCCAGTCCGACCAGCATCACCTATGGGCTGAGATCTCCCAGCCCCACTTGGCTCAGGCTCAGCCTTCGGGGCCGGATTTCCCTTATCAGCGAGGAGATAAGGAAGAGGAGGAAAGGCTTTTTATTCCCCCTGCGGATCGGAACCCAGCAGGAAGCCCATGGCCACGCAGAGCCCCTTGGACAGCCTGCAGAGCGAAGCCTCCTGCTCCATCTGCTTGGGTTACTTCCAGGATCCCGTCTCCATCCCCTGCGGCCACAATTTCTGCCGGGATTGCATCGCCCGCTGCTGGGAAGGGCTGGAGGGTAATTTCCCCTGTCCACAATGCAGGAAAACGACGTTGCACAAAAATTTCCGCCCCAGCAGAGAGCTGGCAAATATCGCCAGCATCGCCCGGCAGCTGAGCTTGCATTCCTCGACTTGGTGCAAGCAGCACTGTGAGGCTCTCAAGCTCTTCTGCAAAGAGGACCAAGAGCCCATCTGCGCTCAGTGCGATGCGTCCCAGGCTCACCGCTCCCACACTGTGCTCCCTGCCCACCAGGCGGCCCAGGAGTACAAGGTACGGTCCCCAAAAACCCCGAGCCGCGAGCACAGTGCATCCCTATGGGTGCCGCCACGCGACCCTTTGCTTGGTGCTTCCCCCCCATCCTCCCTCTTGGCAATTCGGGACCGACGCCGTCAGCTCTTTGCAGCCTTCCCACCTTCTCCTTCCTTTGATGCTTTGCTCTTTGACCACAGCCTTGCAAAAACAACAACAACAACAACAAAAAAAACCACTCCACTGAGAGCTCTTAAATACAGATACACACCCCAGATCCGCCGTTTTGGGGTGTTTTTGAGGGAAATCTCACCATGTGCTTATCTTGCCATTCCACGCTTCCTTGCACAGCTATCAGTTCTCTACATTCTCTACATTCCCCCCCTTCCTCCCCACCTTTTGCTCCCCCTATTCTCCCTGCAAAATACTTCCAGCTTGCACAGAGCTCCGGAGCAGCACACACACAAAGCTTCCCTCTGCCCAGCTCTGCACCTTGCATAGGATTCCAGGCTTTAGCAAAGCCTCTCCCATCTGACAGAGTGGGAAAGCAGGTTTTCCTCCTGTCTTCTTTTGGCACAGGAAGAAATCCAGGCTCGCCTCCAGGCTTCAAAGGAGGACAGGGAAAAATACCTGGAAAGCAGAAAGACTGGTGGAAGGACGGGCTTGTATTTGGTGGGTGCAGCAGGGGAGGTTTCTGCCTTCCCCTCCGCCCTACCCTGTTTGTTTTGGTGTATTTTGGGGGCATTTTTGGCTCGCAGCTGGGCTGGAAATGTGCCAAGCCTGTGTTTATCAGCTGGGGTTACACAGCATCCCCTGTGTTAAGGAGATAACGTTGCAGATCCTCCCAAACTCTTTAAATATCCCCCTTACAGAACTCAGCTCCTATCCCTTCCTTTGGTTTTGTTTTTGGGATACACTTCCTGGAAAACCCCTGCTCCCCAAATCCCCAGCAAGATGATCTTTGGCTTTTTGGTGTTAAGTTCCCATTGGCATCTGTGTTATGTTCCCATTGGCACTGTTGTTACATTCCCATTGACACTGGTGATATATTCCCACTGGCATTGGTGTTACATCCCCGTTGGCATTAATGTTAAGTTCCCAATGGCACTGGTTGTAAATTCCTATTGATTTTGGTTGGACATCCCCCAGGACACAGCATCCTGAGACCCCAGGGGGGTCCTCCTGCCCCTATTCCATCCCATTGGCTTTCTCTCTCGTCCCAACAGGAGAAAACCAAGAAGGAAGGGAAGAGGATAGTGTGTGAATTCGAGCAGTTGCAGCGATTTCTGAAGGAGAAGGAGCGTTTCCTGCTGGTCCAGCTGGCAGACCTGGACAGAGCCATCGCCAAAGTGCAGGAGGACGCGGTGACCAAGGTGTTGGAGGAGATGTCCCACCTCGACACCCTGATCTGGGAGATGGAGGGCAAATTCCAGCAGCCCGACAGCAAATTCCTGCTGGTGAGAACCCAAAGAGGTGGTGGGAAATGGGGGGGACGGAGAAAACCCTGAGAACCCAAACTCAGCCCCGTGGGAGCTCCCTGTGTTGCTGCTGGGGGGGTCACACCGTGGGCAGGGTGGTCTTTGCTACGCATTGCCATATGAAGGAGGAGCCCTTGGTGCTCCTCTTCTGATCCATCTCTCCTCTCTCCCCCCACCTTCAGGACATCAGGAGGCTCTTGAATAGGTAATGTGGCTCCTTCCCGTTTTCACCTTGATTTTTGGGTGGCACCCGGGGGAGGACTTTGGGGCAGGGGAGAAAGGGATTTTGTCCCCAGGCAAATATCCTCATCCCATAGCTTCCCCTATTGGGAATAAAATGAACAACCAACCAACCAACACAACATTCCCCTCATCCCCATCCTTCCCCTCTCTTTGCAGCTGTGAGATGATGAAGTTCAGCCCTCCGGCAGAGATTTCCCCCACTCTGGAAAGAAGATTGGAGGACTTTCTTCAGAAGAACATCCTGGTGAGATGCACGCTGAGGAAGTGCCAAGGTACCGAGTTGGGTTGGGGTCTCCTCCAAGTTTAGGAGGATCACGGGGGTCTTGCAGTAAACCCAGAGCTTTTGCACTGCTAAGCTTCCAGACCCCCATGATTTCCCTTTCCCATCTCCCAGCCCCTTTTCCTGAAGCATAAACCTGATGTTGTGATTTTATTTTCCTTTTCAGACAGCCTGATGTTTCAATTGCAAGAGCCAGGTATGTCAGGAGTGGGTGGCTATGGGGTGGGAGAGCGGTTTTCTTGGCCTGTGGATGGGAAAAAAACAATGCAATCCCACAGGGAAGGGAGGGAATGGGGTCAGTGTCCTAATGCTGGTGGTCCTACAGAGTCAAAAAACAGTTTCAAGGCAAAACCAAAGAGTTCTTGTGCTTCCCCTTCCCCTCCATGAATGTGGAGCTGTCCCCTTCCCACATCTTTGCCTTTACCACCTTATGCTGTCCTAAAATTTGTCCTCTCCCCATTCTCCTACGTCTCTACTCCTCTCCCCATATGTCTCTACTGGGGGACACTGAGGTTGGTAGCAGCCCCACACACCCCATAGAATCACAAATATTGGAGAAGACCCCCAAAGGCCACCCAACCCAACCATCAACCCACCACCAACCCATGTCCAAAAGCACCCTGAGAAAAGGATGGAAGGAAGAGGAACCTCAACAGCTCTCCCCAAGCCTAAATCCTACCTCCATTCCCCCTCATGTCCCACAGCCAACATCACCATGGACCCCACCACCGCTCACCCCAACCTCTACATCTCCGAGGACCGAAAACAAGCCCGGGGTCAACTGCTGCCACAGGACCTCCCCGAGAACCCCGAGAGGTTCAGCTTCGAGCCCTGCGTGTTGGGCTGCCAGGGCTTCACCTCGGGGAGGCATTTCTGGGAGGTGGAGGTGGGACAGGGGGGGGTTTGGGCCCTCGGGGTGGCCCGAGCTTCCATGAAGAGGAAGGGACCCATGAGCTTCAGCCCCAAAGAAGGGGTCTGGGCGCTGGAGGCCTATCACTCCCTCACATCCCCCCGTGCCAACCTACGTCTGAATGCACTGCCCAAAAGGATTCGGGTCTCCCTGGACTACGAAGGGGGTCGGGTGGCGTTTTTCAGCTCAGATGATGACACCCCCATCTTGGTGTACACCAGAGCTTCGTTCAGCGGGGAGAAGGTCCTCCCTTGGTTCAAGATAGGGATGGGGGCTCGCTTGCAAGAAATCACCCAAAATTCCCCTTCAGAGGAGCAGTCCACGAGCGGGCACCTGATGTCCCATCTGGACTGGGTTGGGTTCAGATCTCCCCTAAAGATCTGTCCTTGAGATGTCCTTTAGTGAAAGGGACATCTGATGGGACGTGTGCCGTGTTTGCTTGGAGCGCCGTGCCAAGGGGACCCGCTGCTCTGCCCCACGTCTGTCCCCATCGGGAGCCCTGGGTTGGTCCCTCTGCAGAATGGGGGAGCCACCAGAGAGCACTGAAGAGCTGGAAGGAAATTCATACATCTGTCTGTTTTCTATCTGACATCAATCGTGGGGCAGATCCGGGGCGTTCTGCAAAGGGATGCAGCCTTTCGCTGCAAATAGCAATGCCTGGTGTGGGGAGCTGGTCTCTGCCTACGTTTCTGATAGTTAATGTTAATTAAAAATGTGTTCTGCACACTTTCTGCCTCACGATGGGTGCATGGCTCTGGGTTGGCTTTGGGTGCGTGGCTCTGGGTCAGCTTTGGGCCAACAGAGTGAAGTAGAGCTGCTCAAGGTGAGGACTCACCTGCACGGATTCCCTCAAAAACCCATTTTCTTCTGAGAAAGCACAAAAGAGGAAGAGGCAGCACCAAAATAAACACAGGTTGGTGATTGTAGAACCAAAAAGAGGAACTAAAAGAGAGTGGGAGGGAAGGGGTGACATCAGGCTCAGAATAACAGACGTGATATGAGTGTGTATCCCATGACAAAGCCCAACCTCACCACCCCCAAAGGTCAAATCTATAGCTGATGTTTCAATATTGCTCTTTGCCGTGTTGGTATTTTTCCTCAGCCCCATGCATTGCTGCCAAATGGTCCCACCAGGGTCAATTCTGCTCCATAAATCTGCAATGCAGATATTTCCAGCCCAGCTGGTTTTCCAGGCTCTGCAATCAGTGCTTTTCAGGACACGATGAAACTCATTTGCCCAATGATGGGAGCCTTTTTTTGGGATGAAAGGCTCTGTGCCCCAGGGGAGAAGTTGCAGGGAGTTTGGAGTTTCCAGAGTGCCATCCCTGTGGCTCTTCCCAATGGGAAGGGTTTGCTGGAAGTGGATTTCACCCCTGCAAACCTGCCCAAGTGAATGGCAGTCATCTCCTTCAGTTGGGTCTCAATGGTTGCCGTGCAAAAATTAAATATATACGTAATGCATGGCTTTATTTTATAGGCATTTGTATTTGGCCATGAGGCTCAGCACGAGGACAGCGGGGTAGAAATGGTTGGAAATGTTTCCTCGAGAGCTCAGAGCCAGGATTGTGAGTGCTCTGAGATGTTGGGCTGTGAGAGAGAGGCCAAACCCCAAAGACCCTCCCTTGTGCTCCTCCACATCCCCGCAAGGATCTGGCTGCACATTTCCTCCCCTATTTCCCTATGGTTTCCCCATATACACCCCGTAGCTCCGCTCCCAGTGGCTTTATCCTAAAAGGAAGCTGACAGAACTGCAAGGTGACATTGCTCAGCATCTCCCCAGGACAAGAAACTGGGAAAGAGACAAAGGAGAAACCCAGAGCTCCCAGCCAAGGGTGCCACCAGGAGCAGACCTGCAGGCTCGACGCATCCATCCTGCAGCTCTACCCCGGAATGGGAAGGAACAGGAAGGGAAAACCCCAACCCCATCAAAGGGCTGAAAACAACAGGTTCTGTAGGTTCACCAAGAGGGATGTCAGGCTTCCCAAAGGAGGAGAGAGAAGGGCTGTGAGGAAGAAGAGCTCCCTGGAGTCCCCAAACCTGGAGGATCTGGTAGGTGTCAGCGATGTGTCATCAATAGGGTCATTTCTCTCCATCCTTTTTGCCTCCTGTGCTTTTAGGACCCTCAGCTTTCTGCCCCGAATTCACGCCCATCCGTTTATGACTTTTTGAGTTTGATTTCTTCCCCCCGCCCTCCCAAATTCAACAAAATTTAGTAAGGGTTCCAGCTCACCATTGAGCTCCACTGGTGGGTGATGCCCACCCATGAGCCCCCCCCCCCCCATGGTATTTCCAGTCCCACTGCTCTTTATTTTCCACTCTTTGCATCAGAAGGAAAGCTGAGCCCCAGCAGAAAGTGCTCAGCAGGAAAACACGGAGCTCTTCTTGCTCTGGCAGCTGGAAGACCTGAAAAATGAGATTGAGAAGAGGCAGAAAAGCACCACTAAGCTCTCGGAGGAGATTTCCCAGCAGGATATGAAACCACAGGGAGAGAAGAGTCAGCATTCGGTGAGTGAATTCCTCCAGGGAAGCTCTTTTCAAGGGGACAAATCCATTAGGGATGTCCTCCCCACCCCGACCATTTGGCTGGTGGCTTCATTCGGTGCTTTCCCCCTGTTTTACACCATTCCATCAGCCCCAAACCCCAACTACAATGAGGAGATGGGGGTCTGCAGCCTCCTCTTCCCCCCACCATTTCCTCCTCACCTCTCAATATTTTCACCTTGCTGCAGAAGATCCTCGTGGGGTCCATTTTAAAAGGGGAAATCCACGGCTGGGCTGGGAGATAAAAGTGGGGTGGATCTGCAGGATCCACTGCCGTGCATGGATCCTCCTGAGTTGGTTCACCTTCCTCATGGAGGAAGACCCAAGAGATCCATCTCTGGTCAAACAATTCATCATTTTATGATTTGAAGACAAAATGGAACATGTGTTGGAAGACCCCAGAGGCCCATCCCCAGTTAAGGAGTTCGTTGTTTTCAATGACTTAAAGACAAACTGGGAGAGCAATAGATGCAACCCCAGCCAAACAATTCACTTTTCCTATGGCTTAAAGTCAAAACTGGGCACATATTGGATGGACCCAGAGGTCCATCCCCACTCAAACAGTTCTGTTTCCCATGCTTTGAAGACCAAACGGGTCACGCACTGACCTGAGTTTCCTCTCCTCTTCCTCTCTTCTGTCCCCAGGATGTGAAAAGCCCCTCCACCAGGTACGTGGCCCCTCTGAAAAGCTGCTCTGTGAGCTTTGCATCAAGCAGTGACTGTAGAGAAGGAAGCTCGTCAATGAATGCTCCTCTGCTCCAGGGGAACTGTGAGATCTGGAGGGTATTTTGGGGATGGCCTCTACGTGCTGGTGTCTGCTTTCATCTCCTTGGTGATTCTGGGGGATGTAATGATCAGAGGGGCTTTAATCTCAAAATTGAGCCTCCACGTGGCAAAGGCTGGTTTTAATTCTCTTCAACGTCTCCAAGCTTTTCTCTCGCCTATTCCACCCAAGCAGGTCTCCAACAAAAAGTCATTAATTAGGTAGTTATCTCAAGAAGAAAAACCCAGCCTTTGCCCTTGTGAGGTTTGGGTTGCCGAGGGGGGGAAACATCTCCATCCCCTCGTCTCTCCTGACATTGGATTTCCTGGAATGATGCCATGCTCTGTGATGTAATCACCCCGAAAAAAATGCATCGATTCTCCATTTATTCTCCCTCCAGGTGTGGAAAAGTGACCTTCCAGCTGCCAGCGGGTGCCTCTCCAGGGCCAGAAGAGAGGCTGTGCCATTTCTCATGGAGGAACGGAGCTCTGAAGGAACACCTGAAGAAGCTTCAAGGTACTCAGAAGGGTTTTCAGGTGGGAAATGGTGATATTTTGGTGAAAACCAGCAGCCCATCTCTCTTTCTGGGCACAGCAGAATAATGCAGAGGTGGAAGAGCAATGGGTTATTCCCAATCAGGAGAAACGAATGGTTGAGCCCCAAAGGACTCAATACCTCGTTTGCCACAGTCTTAATTACACGTTTTGCTGTAATTCCTGAGAAGTGCTCATGGATGAAGCTCTCTGGCTTTGCTCCCTTTCAGCTTTGCCTTTCCTAAAAGTGCTTTTTGCTGAGCATGAGAACCCAAAGCCGCGTTACCTGTTGGATGGAGACGCGCCCGGACCCATAGGCTGCACCCAAACGGACAGAAATAGATGCTGAGGGAGGAATACACAAAATCAGGGCAACCAAACGAGTTTTCTTCACCCTGCAGCCCGAGTCTGGCTGTAATTTGGGATGATGGCCCCAGGGCAGATCCCTCACCTTGATGAACAACCATTTCCCATCAGCAAATATGGCGGGCGGGTTGACCTCATTCATCATCCCTGCCTTCAGATTTCAGCTCCTTTTTTTGGGGAGGAGGGGTTGGCTGAACTGGTCTGGGTTGGTCTAGGAGATAAAGCACTGCAGGCTTTGCTGGGTAATATCCCATAGATCTCTTTCCTTCCATTTCCATTTTTTTTCTCCCCCCACCATTCCTTTTGGTGCTGGAAGTCTAGCTTTATTTCTGGTCATTTCGGGGGCTGAAAAAGCTCTTTTATTGTCAAATAGCACTGGCACGTGGGAGGGGTCTCCACCTTTTATCTTTTTACTTCCTTCTTTGGGATTTTTTACCCTCCTGATGCCATCCCATAGCCCCACAGAATGGTTGAGGTTGGAAGGGACGGTCCCATCCTACAACCCTACTAAAGTGGGGCCACCTGGAGCAGACCCAAAGCATTTAGTGCTGGAGATCCAACCTCTCCACATCCTCGTGGCTTCGGCACTGAGGACCCCAAAACCTCCCCCCTCCTCTTACACCCCACAGCCAGCATCACCCTGGACCCCAACACCGCTCACCCTGACCTCGTCCTCTCCGAAGACAGAAAGAGTGTGAAACGTGGGGCAGGACAGCAGGACCTTCCTGATAACCCCGAAAGATTCGCCTACTGGCCCTTCGTTTTGGGCCACCAAAGCTTCTCCTCCGGCCGGCACTGCTGGGAGGTGGAAATGGGGGATGAAGGGGACTGGGCCATCGGCGTGGCCCGAGAATCCATCCCACGTAAAGGTCAACTCAGCCTCTGTCCCAAAGGGGGGATTTGGGGGTTGGAGAAATGGGGGGGACAGATCCGGGCTCTCACCACCCACAAGGTGACCCTGTTAGCTCTGCGCTGGGTGCCCAGGAGGGTCAGCATCCACTTGGACTACGCTGGAGGGACGGTGGCATTTTTTGATGCCGATGAAGGGGGGCTCATCTTTGTTTTTTCCCACGCGTCCTTTGCTGGGGAGGGGGTCCGTCCGTGGCTGTGGGTGGTGGGGGTCAGGTCCAAGCTGAGGCTGTGCCCCTGAGACAGGGAAAAGGGTCACCCCACATCCTACAGCCTCAGGGGACAGCCCCATTCCCACTCATCCCATGGGGAGCAGATGAAATGAGGGCTTGGGGTTTTTCTGTGTCCTTCATCCCTATGAACCTAGTGCCATGGAATCACACTGATATGATATTGACTGATGTGATATTGTTAAGAAGTGCTGAGCAAGAGAAAAACGGGGCAACAGAAGGGAAAAGTGCTGCACTGGGTGATTAGAATGTAGAAAAGGGTGGTCGAAAGGGAAAATCCCACCCAACAGAATGGAAGAAAGACAGATTTCCCCAGGGTTTGCCCCCATCTGAGATGGTCACCTTCAAATCAAGTGGTCCACTCTTCTTGAAGATTTGGTGTTTGAAGCCTCAGAGTGCACAATAATTCATAATAAAATGCTTAATTTTCCCCTCTGTGTCTTTCTCTCTGCCAATGGACAGCAGAACACAACGCTTTCGGGGTTGACCCACTTGAATGGATCTTTCTGGGTTCCAGCACAGCCAACTCTGTGCAGACACCAGGAATGGGATTTGGTAGTTCCAAATCCTTGGGATTTGGGCCAACAAACTCTTCAGATTTATTTCCCACATCCTCAGGGTCATTCTGAATATCTGTCAGATGGATCAGAGAGACTAAAGATTTCTGTTTCTTCCCATCTGACTGCATCTCTAGGCATAAGAGAACCCGTTGGTTTCCCCTTCGTCCCTGTGAACCTGACATCCAGAAGCAGTGAATAAACAGGCACGGAAGGACTTTATGACGTACAAACCTTTTTATTTCATCTAAAGCCGTGAGGTTGGAGAATCACAGTGGTGCAAGATGGGGTGAAAGGGTCTCTGTTTGCTACTGATACCCCAAAACTGGCACTGATCATCCTGAACCCCGACCCAAAGGTGCTTAACCTTTTGGGGTCGCTGGGAATGGGAAGAGAAGACAGAAAACCCAACGAGGAATTCAATAGGAGCCCCCCAAAGTGCTGGGATAGGGATGCTGGGGACGTAATGTTGGTGTTTGGGTACAGGAGAGCTTTAGGGACACAACGTGATCTGAGAGCCCTCACCCCACACCAGGAACCAGGGGTGAATGCTCTCCCCTTTGAATGAGGCCGATGGGAAAATGAAGATCAGAGCCCTCTTATCAGCATCAAAAAATGCCACCTGACCCCTCTCATAGTCCAGGGTGACCCGAACCCTTTTGGGAACCTGGATTTGGGACAACGTCATGCGCTCAAAGGAGGAGAGAGCCCAAAACTGTCCCTCACAGAAACCCATAGACCAGAGTTCAACCTCAGGGCTAGCACCATTTTCTTCCCTCCTCTTTAGGGACTCCTTGGCCACCCCAACAGCCCAGGAGCCTTTGGGTGTCACTTCCACCTCCCAGCAGCATCTCCCCGACGTGATGCCCTGATGGCCCAGCACGAAGGGATCGGTCCCAAATTCCTCATTGGCTGCATCCCGTTGGGCATCTTCCCACCTCACACTGCTCCCATCCACTGACACAGAGAGCTGGGGGTGAGCTGTGGATGGATCCAGGGTCACGCTCACTGCCAAAGGAAACCAGAGCATGTCCCATGACCCCAAGGTTGCTGGGATGAGCAAGGAGGTCCACTGGAGTTCACCCCATCCCTACTCTCTTTGGGATGCTCTTCCTTCCTTGGAACCCTCTTCCCTCTTTGGGATGCTTTTCCCTCTTTGGGACCATCTTTGGGACCCTCTTCCCTCTTTGGGCAAAGGATTCCCTGACTCCTTGAGATGTTTTCCCCCTCTTTTTCATTGCTTTGTTTAGATAGAAGTATCTCCCCCAGAATATCCCCCAAACCACAACCCATCCCATGCTGCTCTCATCCCTCATTTGGGTTCTCTCCTGCTCCAGAAGATGGACTTACTCTTTTCAGGCAGCTCAAACATGAGGATTTCTACAAGAAAAGGGAGAAAAAAAAAAAAAAACGAAATATCTGATAGGACATCATAATCTCAGTGTGGATTGTTTTGCCCAGATTTTTTTTCTCTTCGATTCCAACAAACACAACTGATGCCCCCCACTCCAGCCCATGCTCAATACCTTTGAAGTTCTTCAGAATCTCCTCTAACGCATTATTTTTCTCCCTGAAGTGACTGAGATTCCTTTCCAGGTCTGGAAGAAGCAACGTGGGCTGCTGGAAGTTCTCCTTTCCCAACCTGGAGGAAGAGGAAAGAAGGAAGTTGCCCAAAGCCCAGCCACCATCCCCAGCCTGGAGCCATTTCCACTTCATGGCATCTCTTTCTCCCCTTCATCCCATTTGCTTCCATTTAACGAGGTGGGCTCAGGAAGCTCCCCCCATACCTGCTCAAGGTGCTTCTGATGTCCTGGAAAGGAGAAAGGGGAAAAGAAACTCAACAAATGGATTTTGGTAGCGAAATCCCTACCGAAAATCCAACAGCTTTCTGTTGGCCATCACCCATGGCCATAAAACACGGTGATGCTAACCGAGTGGCATTCTCCACCTCCTCACCTGCAGAAATTTGCTTGCTGGTTGCTGGCACTTCTCCTCCACCTCCTGGATGATGGTATCCAGGTGGGAGATCTCCTTGGTCAGGATGGTGACGTTCTCTTCCTGCGTTTTCTCCACGTCCCTCTCCGTGTTTTCCAGCTGGGCCAGCAGGTGATGTTCCTGCTCCTCCAGGAAGAGGCGCAGCCCTTCAAATACACCCAAAACCTTCTGCCGTTCGGTGCTGGTTTTCTCCTGCAAGGAGAAGGAGTCATAGGAGGAGCCAGCAAGTCCTGCACACCCAGGAAGAGGCAGCGACCAATTATCCCAAAGTATTCCGCAGCAGGGATGTCCTGATGGATTGCAATGCACCCCCAAGCCAACGATGCTTCGTTGGTGCGAGATTTTGCTTTGCATCCCCCCAGCTGAGTCCATTCCCAATAAGGTTTTGCTTTCCATCCCCCATTTGAGTCCATTCCAATGAGGTTTTGCTTTCCATTCCCCATTTAAGTCCATTCCCAATGAGGTTTTGCTTTGCTTCCCCCCATTTGAGTCCATTCCCAATGAGGTTTTGCTTTGCATCCCTTGACTGAGTCCCTCCCAGGGCTCCAAACTCCACCTGCCATTTTTCCCCCATATAATCCTTAAAAAAAGCCCCAATCAACCAAAACTAAAAGCTCACACCAGGCTTCAGTTGATTTGGTGCATGGAAAGACCCCAATCCCAATGCAAAACTCTGATTATCACACCTAAAGGGACCCCCCAGACCTCCATCCTGCTCACAACAATTAAACAGCTGCTCACCAAATACTCCCAATTTCTTCTCAGCTCAACCTCTCGGAACCCCAAGAGTTTGTCTCTGCCTTCCTTCAGTGCTTGCAGATGGGATTGGATTTGTTCCTGGGGGAAGAAAATGCAATTCCAAGGGTTGGGAGATTGCAGAGAGCCTGAAAAACATTCATCTGGGAGGGGGGTTTGCATTGTGGTCAGCTCCAGGGCTTCCCCTTGAGCCTCTTGGTTCAGAAGCTCAGGACAAGGGAATGGTTTAAATGGTGATAAGTGCCACAAAGCTTTTGGGTCCGACTCATTAAAAGCATCCTCTTTATTGCTATGTTTTTCAGCTTTAGCAATCAGCACTGCATTAGTGATGAGAGAATGCAGAACCAGATTGAGTTCTGCAATGGGGAGGAGGGAGCGAAGCCCTCGGCCCTTTGGCTTGCAGAAACCTCGAGGTCAGACCCAGCGTGAGAAGTGAAGCAGCAGAAACACCAACGCAGGGCGTGCAGCATCATATTGAAACAGCCTGCTTTGCTTTGGGGGTTCTGAGCACCCAGAGAGAGGGGACAGCGCTTCTGCCCCCCATTTACAGCCCTGGGTGTGGGGTGGGACGCACTGCAGCCCCATAGCAAAGGGAGCATCACACCTGAATGGTGATGGTTGGATAGGAAAAATGCAATTAAAAAAAATAATACCCCAGCCAACAAATAAAGCCTTTACCTTGTATTCCTGGACAGCATCCTGCACAGGAAGCATCACATGAGCGCGGTGCAGCCGTGACTCGCGGCAGATCAGGCAGATGAAAGCTTCATCATCTTTGCAATAAATGCTCAGAGGTTCCCGGTGCTTCCTGCATCCTTCCTGCCCCGCAGCATCCCTGTGGGCTGCCTGCAGGCTCAGCCTCCTGGCGATCTCCAGCATCCTCGCCAGCTCTCGGTTGGGACATAAAATCCTCTCCGCTGCCGTCTCCTTGCACTGCGGGCAGCAGAAATCCCCCGTGCACCATTCCCAGCACCGAGTGATGCAGTCCCTGCAGAAATTGTGGCCGCAGTGAATGGAGACGGGATCTCGGAAATATTCCAGGCAAATGGGGCAGGAGGCTTCGCTGGGGAGGTGGGCAGTGGGGTTGGGTGCAGCCATGGGGCCCCACGGAGCACTGAGAGTTTCATTTTCTTGGTGAAAGGCGTTTCCCTTCCCACCAACCCCAAGGGTTTGGGGTGGGCAGAGCCAGGGCTGAGCTTGGGGTGAAGGAGAGGTGGAGATGGCTTGATGGTTGCATCCCATATCAGTGCGCCCTAAACACCTCCATGGGTTGGTAGGGGGGAAGAATGGGGATGAGACCCACAGCCTGGATGGGAACAAAAGGGATTTGGGGTGGGGGTTTAGGGTAGGAGAGCTGATTGCATCCCCCATAGTGGTCTCTGTGCCCTAAAACCAGCACCAAAATATTTGGTCCCTATGGCACGGCAGGGAGGAAGAAAGGGGACAGAACCCACAGCACGGATGGGAGCAAAGGGGATTTGGGGAGGGGTCTGAGCTGGGATGGGGGATAACTGCTGATGGTTCAAGCCTTGCTGGTTGCATCCCCTATAAAGAGGTACCCATGCCCTAGACATTGCTGCTCTGGTACCCAGAACACCCACGCCTCGAAGCAATTAAGCAGAAACCCATTTAAAAAGAACACCTTAATTAGTCATGTTCTTGCTCTTCTTGCAGGAAGGGGTTGAGCAAAAGCCTCTGCCCCATAGCAGAGCCTCCTGCCCCCCCTCCAGCCCTCACTTTGTCACAACACTTCTGGTGCTGCTCGCTGTGAGCTCAGGGCTCGTTTGCAGGAGGATGCCATTATTTTTAATGACCTCAGTTTACAGCAATAACGAACAGTTTTTAGGAATAATAATAATAATAAAGCACCAAGATTTCTGAACTGGGCTCGTTCGAGCCAGCTTAAACTTTAAGTTTTAGGGCTGATGTTACAATAAATGGTTCCCTTCCCCATGACTTCTTACCATTTAACATCTGTGGGATGTGGCAATGGATGCTTCACCCACTCCTCAGTCTCTCCCTTTGGGAAGATATTCCCTCAAACCACATTTTCTCTCAATCACATTTTCCCCCCCACACAAACAAAAATGGGTTCAGACAGCCCCCAGAAACCCCAGTTTCCTCCACATTGCTCCAGATCTCCACTGAATTCCCCCAAAATGCCCCTAGGAGGGCAATGGGATCAGGAAGCGAGCCCACAGGGTGGGATCAGAAAACCCATAGCCGTGCATGGATGCCCCTCCAAGAGGCCCTAAACCTTTCAGAACTGAACAAAAAGAGACCCCCGTGGCCATGGGGTGGGTGTGGGGTGCAGGTGGGGCCATTCAGACCCTTTGGGGCAAAGCAAAGCAAAGCAGCGTTGCTGGGTTTGGAGGACACCAACGTCCCACTGGTTTCATTCTGAGTGTTCTGCACCCAAAAGCTGCGACCCGTTGAGGAACCCCACGCACAAATAACAGCAGATGTGTTGTTTAGGGTTGCTCTCAGAAGATGCATTGCTTTGTCCCCGTGCAAGCATGCGCTGCTTGCTTTGCATGCAGGATGCAACATTTGCATGTGTTACAGGGCAGTGGGCTGTGGGACGGAGCAAATTAAGGGATTCTCATTCAGTGGGGTGAGGAATTATGCTGTTATCCCTCCAGGACAGCCTTTGGTATTTTTTAAAAACCATTTTCAGTATTTTTGAAGTCACTTTTGAGGGCGAAATGGTGGATTTGGAGCTGGGCGCAGCGGGGGCTTTGCAAGAGCGAGCAGAACAAAAGCTTTTGGCAACAGGATGTGATTAAAGATAAGCTGTAATTGGCTGCTGCTGGGCTCAGCACCGAGCCGTGAAAAACAAAATCAGAAATCTGATTAAAAGCAGAATTGAAAGTAGAGCTTTGGGGGTGAGTGCTGCACGTCGGCATGCGCGGAAATGGGAGCGATGAATGGAAAAGAAGTGAAGAAATAAGGGCAGGTTTTGGTGCTGAGAGGGGGGGCTGGTCATTGTATTGCTGGTATCAATTAGCATGGTATTGCTAATTAATTAATTCTGTAAAAGTGCCTTTATTAATGAGCAACGCAGGCAGATTGCTGGGGGCTGAACACAATAGGGAAGAATGGGGTTGGGGTCATCCATCCGTTTCCCTTGGTGTTTGATTTTGGGGTTGCCCTATAGAGGCTGCAGCTCTTAACGAGGCAGGAAGTAATTAAGGCTGTTTATCTTCACTGCAATTAAACTCTCTGCCCCTCCACGTGCAGGAAGGGGAACGGCCTGGGTGGAAATAGGGTTACCCTTCCATTCCTCTGGGTCTTGGAGGGTGTCCTGCATCGCTCTTAACGAGGCAGGAAGTAATTAAGGCGGTTTTATTTTCACTGCTCCCTTTCACCTTCCCTCCGAGCACCTGCAGGAAGGGGAACAGACTGAGTAGAAAACGAAAGCTGCTCTGTCATTATTGCTATCGCCGCTATGGATGAAGATAACCCAGCTGAGAGCTTCCAGGATGAGGCTTCCTGCTCCCTCTGCTTGGGCTTCTTCCAAGATCCCGTCTCCATCCACTGCGGGCACAACTTCTGCAGGGCGTGCATCACCCGCTGCTGGGAGGAAGAGGAGGAAACCTTCCCCTGCCCTCGCTGCAAGGCGACGGCCACGCATCCAAACCTGCGACCCAACCGTGAGCTGGCCAAGATCATCGAGATCGCCAAAAGGCTGAGCCTGAGGGCCCCCAACGCTGGGGAGAGGCTTTGTGAGAGGCACCGGGAGGTCCTGAAGCTGTTCTGTGAGGAGGACCAGGCTCCCATCTGCCTGGTGTGCAGGGAGTCCCAGGCGCATCGCCTGCACGCCGCCGTCCCCATCGAGGAGGCGGTGGAGGAGCAGAAGGTATGGAGGGTCGTGGAGGGGTCTTGGGGGCTGCTTTGCTTGGAAAGCGTTGGGTTTCCAACTGCTTTCAATGTGTTTTGGTTGGAAGATGGCCAGTCTTCACTTTGTTGGCTCCCTGTTCTCTTCCATCGTTGGTCATCCCAACGCTGTCCCCATTGAGGAGATGGTGGAGGGCACTGAAGAGGAGGAGGAGGGTGAAGGAAGGGTCTGGTGTGTTGCTTTCCTTCCATAGTTGGGTTTCCATCCTTCTTCAGTGTGTTTTGTGGGTTGGTGGATGGCCAGTCTTCACTTTGTTGGCTCTGTTCTCTTCCACTGTTGGTCATCCCAACGCTGTCCCCATTGAGGAGATGGTGGAGGGCACCAAGGAAGAGGAGGAGGGTGAAGGATGGCTCTGATGTGTGGCTTTGCCCACCATATTTGAGTTTCCATCCTTTTTCAATGTGTTTTGTGGGTTGGAGGATGGCCATTCTCCACTTTAGGGCTCTCCATTTTCTTCTGTTGTTGTTCATCCCGATGTTCTTCAAGGTCTCATTCCCAGACCATTGTAGAGATCCTGAAAATCATCCCAGAATTTCACATAAGGGAGTGGGCTGGATTGAAATGCACCAAAAAAAATGTTTTTTCTCCATCCAGGAGAAAATCCAGGCTCACGTACAGATCCTGAAGGAAAAGAAGGAAAAACTTCAGGGACTGAAAGAGGCTGAGGAAGGGAAAAGCCTGGAATTCCTCGTAAGTGCAGCCTTGTGCCTTCCTTTCCCTTGAGTCATCCTTATATATATCCTTATATATAATGCTGCTGGCCAAAGGTCTGCAGCATTTTGGGTACAAAGGTCACAGCCCCTGGGAAATGCCCTCTGCCAGCCTAGAAATAGCAAAAATAAAGAGTGTTACTCATTGCTCTGCAATGGAATTTATGGCTGCTCTGCACACCAAGTCATCCCGATGAATCAGCGTTGTCACAGTGTTTCTACACCTGTGCACTGAATTTTCCTGCAGGAGAAGGTCCAGCAGGAGAGGCAGAAGGTGGTGTTGGACATCAAGGAGCTGCAGCAGTTCGTGGAGCAACAGGAGAGTCTCCTTTTGGGGCGGCTGGAAAAGCTGGACCAGGAAATCGTAAGGAGAAAAGAGGAGAACCTGGCCAAGCTCCTGGAGGAGATTTCCTCCATCAGCGAGCAGATCCGTGAGCTGGAGGAGAAATGCCAGCAGCCACCGTGTGAATTCCTACAGGTTCCCATCACTATTAGCTTCAAAACGCTTTGAATTCAAGCACAGTTGATTTACATCCCTATTTTAGATGGGTATGGGGGTTAACCATCCAACCGTTCATCTGCATCCAAAAAGATTGCATCCCTAAAGACTGCAACACATACAGCACGGTCATCCAAACCTCTGAGTCTACCTGCAGGGAACCCTGGTTTGGAACACTGAAATATGGCATAGCACTAAGGAAGATGTGTAGATGTGGTGCTTGGGGTCATGGTTTGGTGGTAATGGGGGGTGATGGGTTGGGGTTGGACTCGATGACCTTGAAGTCTTCTCCAACCTCAGCGATTCTATGAGTGGGGTGGGTTGACCTGGTGACCTCGGTGGTCTTTCCCAACCTTAACGACTCCATGATTAGCACTAATTACACACATACAGAAGGAGAAGGGTCCAATGAAAGTTGGCTGATGTTGGGTTGACGTTGCTCTCACCCTGATGCTCTTCTTCCTCTTTCCTCTTCTAGGACAGCAGGAACATCTTGAGCAGGTTTGTGGTTCCTTCCATACGTTTCTATGAGTGTAATTTGTTCCTACAGCTGTGGTGCTCAGCAGTGAAATCCCACTCCCATATTACCCCCTTTATAGACCTATAGGATAAAAGTAGGGTGCTGCAAAAGGTGCCCTGGGCCATCCAAAATTGCAACCCTACTCAAATATCTGACTAAATTATCCCGATAATTAAAAACCCAGGAGTGCATCCAGCCAGAAGGGGAAATGGATTGGAATTTCCACCCCCATAGCAGACCCTGATGTGAATGGTGGTGGGTGAAGGAGGTGGGTTATTGGAAAAACCCAAACCAGCGAGGAAATAGGAAATGTTGTGCATCCTTCCAGGCTGGAGAATGAGAAATCCCCGAAGGTGACAGAGATATTGCCTGGAGCAGAAGAAAACCCAACCAGCCCTGCTCAGAAAAACACCTCCCTCAAGGAGACATTGATGCAGTTTCAAGGTAGGGAGGAGAAGGGTCGAGTTTGCAATAGATTTGGGTCTGTTTGCCCTATTTTGACAGCTTATGTATATTTCCTTCTGGTAAGCAAATGAAATATTTGGTCAACTGGATTTTCAAGCATGTTTTCATGGGTGGTACGAACTCAAGTGAGATCCTCTTTGGTGTTGGAAAAAAATTGGGTTAATTCTACAAATCTGCATGCAACGAAATGGATCAAAGGGTCAAAAATAAAATGGATCTTAAGGAATAGTGGGGGATGAAATACAGATCAGATGTTCCCCAGAGGTCCCTTCCAACCTCGTGGTGACTACAACGCTTCTCTTCCTCAACCCTTGTAGGAATGAAACCATCCCTGCATCACTCCAATACCCAGAATTGGGAGCTGGAACGTCCTGGGGTGGGGAAAATGGGGAAATTATGGCTCTGAGGTTAAGAGAAAGCAGGGAAATCACAACCCTAAGCCCTGTGGGATCAAACCATGCTTCCAACTCTCATCTCTTCCACCCTCAGAAAGTCTGACGTTGGATCCCGACACGGCGCATCCCCGGCTGGTCCTGTCTGAAGACCAGAAATGTGTGCGATGGGAAGAAGCCCGGCACCCCATCCCTGATAATAACCCCAAACGCTTCGACTCGTCCCGCTGCGTCCTGGGCTGCCAAGGCTTCGATGCTGGGCGGCACTACTGGGAGGTGGAGGTGGGAGATGGGGAGGCGTGGGCTGTCGGAGTGGCCAAGGAGTCGGTGGAGAGGAAGGGAAGGATCAGCGTCAAACCCGAGGTGGGGATTTGGGCTGTGGGGCAATGTGGGGCGCAGTATCAGGCTCTCACGTCGCCCACCAGCCCCATCACGCTGCTCTCTGCCCCCAAAGTGATTGGGATTTATCTGGATTACGAGGCCGGGCGAGTGGCGTTTTTCGATGCCAACAACGAGGTGCCCATTTTTGCCTACCCTCCCACATCTTTTGGAGGGGAGAGGGTCCTGCCATTGCTCTGCCTGGGGAGGGGCTGCCGCTTCACGCTGTGCCCGTGAGACCCCATGGGGCAGCGATGCCTCGAGCATCACTCAGTCAAACGTGGGGAAACCAAAGGGTCTCATCACCCCAAATTTGGGGAAACCAAAGGGTCTCATCACCCCATATCTGGGGGCACCCCATGGTTTCATCACCACCAGTCTTCGGTAGATCTCATGGCCTCATCACCCAAAACATGGGGAAACCAAAGGGTCTCATCACCCCAAATCTGGGGAGATCTCATGGCCTCATCACCCTAAACATGGGGAAACCAAAAGGTCTAATCACCCCAAATGTGGGGAGATCTCATAGTCTCATCACCCCAGTTATGTGGGCACCCCATGGTTTCATCACCTCAAGTCTTTGGTAGACATCATGGTCTCATCACCCCAAATGTGGGGAAACCAAAGGGTCTCATCACCCCAAATCTGGGGAAGCCAAAGGGTCTCATCACCCTAAATCTGGGGAGATCTCATGGTCTCATCACTCCAATTATGTGGGCACCCCATGGTTTCGTCACCACCAGTCTTTGGTAGACCTCATGATCTCATCACCCCAAATGTGGGGAAACCAAAGGGTCTCATCACCTCAAATCTGGGGAGATCTCATGGTCTCATCACCCCAATTCTGGGTGCACCCCATGGTTTCCTCACCACCAACCTTTGGTAGACCTCATGGTCTCATCACCCTAAATATGGGGAGACCCCAGGGGCACTTCACCCCAAATGTGGGGAAACCAAAGGGTCTCATCACCCCAAATCTGGGAACACTCCATGGTTTCATCCCCGCAAACCAGAGCTGACCTCATGGTTTCATCACCCCATATATGGGGTCACCCCACAAACGACTTTTGGGACATCATCCCAGAAATGTCCTTTTGGACACGTCCCCAAAGATGACTTTTAAGACGTAACCACAGAGATGGCTTTTGGTTCGTGACCCCTGAAGTGTTATCTGCTAAATCCTGGATGCAAACTGCAGAAATCCTAAGAAATTACTTCTTTTAAGCAGCAGTTGTGGTGTTTTTTCAGCATGGGCAATGGGATTGGGGGTGCTGAATGGGAACATCTGCAGAACCCCCGATGGCTCAGAACACAGCAGCCATTCCTGCGTTGTGCAATGGCCACATTGCCTAAAACCCCCCCAAATTTCAGCGTTGAAGTCAAAATTAGGAGATGAAATGCCTTCTGGGATCTTGATTTTAAGTCATAGAATCGTTTGAGTTGGGAGGGACCTTTGAAGGTCATCAAAGTGATGAACCCCGAAGGAAAGAAGCTAAAATTGAAGGAAAATTGGTCAAAAATTGAGGAGAAAAGGGGAGAAAAAAGGTAATTTTGGGTAGGTGTGATGGAGTAGGCAATGAGCAGCGCTTATCAGCCTCCCTGGTGGTCTAGTGGTTAGGATTCGGCGCTCTCACCGCCGCGGCCCGGGTTCGATTCCCGGTCAGGGAAAGACTTTTTTTTTTTTTACCAATTCCCCTTTTTTCCCCCCTTTTCTCGTTGGAAAGATTCTCATTTTTCCCCCAATAATAATAATAATTCTGCTTTTTTGTTTCTGTTTCCTTCCCAACTTCTGCCGACGGGATGTGCTGGGTTTGACTTCCAGACGCAGCAAAAATAATAATTAAATATCAAAAAGTGGAAAAAAATCTTAAAAGCGAAGTGTTTCTGCCCGGTTTCGAACCGGGGACCTTTCGCGTGTGAGGCGAACGTGATAACCACTACACTACAGAAACCTCCATAGGGGCTCATTTTCCTCCCTCTTCCTTCACCCTTTAATTGACTTCTCCCTTTAATTGACCCCCGAATTAAAATTACTTTTTTTTTTCTTTTTGGCCCCGAATAAAGCAGTTTTTCTTCGGAAAATGCACGGAAAAAACACAGCCCGATCTCACATTTTTGCAGCCCCCAAACGGCACCGAAATCGCTGAAACCAACCCCAAAACGGGGCCAAATAGAGCAGAACGCAGCGCCCGGCTAGCTCAGTCGGTAGAGCATGAGACTCTTAATCTCAGGGTCGTGGGTTCGAGCCCCACGTTGGGCGCTAAGTATTTTCCCCCTTTATTTTTCCCATCTAAAACAACCCTATAACGACCAACCCCATAAAACCCCCATTAAAATGTATATTTAAAAAAAAACATCATTTTTAGATCTAGATAATCCCTTTTTAGGGCGGATTTTCTCGCCGTCAGGATGGCCGAGTGGTCTAAGGCGCCAGACTCAAGGCTCTGCCTTCCCGCTGGGATTTCTGGTCTCCCCCTGGAGGCGTGGGTTCGAATCCCACTCCTGACAAGTGCATTTTTTGCCTTTTTCCCCCCAAATTTTAATATCTTTTTTTCCCCCCTTCCCTTTTTACGGCCCCACGAGACGCAATACTTCACTATTTTTGCCCCCAAATGGTTGATTTAATGGAAGTTTTCCTCGGTCCTGCGCACGGCCATGGAGGGGGAACAGCAGAGCAGCGTTTGCTTCCCTTCTATTCTGATTTTTCTCTTTATTTTAAAGCCATCAGTGGTAAAACCACCTTTTTTTTTTTTTTTTCCCCCATAATATTTGCCCCGATTTGCGTTGGGAAAAACTGCAAATTACTACAGCAGATGCATAAATGGGTGAGAGATCAGCAAAACGAGCGTCCCTCGGAAGAAAACCAGGGAAATGGCTTAAAAATTACCAAAATAACCTAAAAAATATATATTTTTTTGAGCAGATTTTGAGGTCGCAGGGGGGACAGGCACGGATACGCTACCATAGGGGTTTCTGTAGTGTAGTGGTTATCACGTTCGCCTCACACGCGAAAGGTCCCCGGTTCGAAACCGGGCAGAAACACTTGCTTTTCTTTTATGTTTTTAACCTATTTTCACGAGTTTGGTGATTTCTCATCCCTTTCAGCCGCACGAGAGGTGGCAGGAAAAGTGGTTACAAAAAGGAAAAATCTAAATTTCACCGCACCGCTTTGAGGCTGATATTTTCCCTGGGTATTGGTGAGAATTAATAAATGCGATGGAATTTGGAAAAATTATTGCTTGTTTTCCCTGACCGGGAATCGAACCCGGGCCGCGGCGGTGAAAGCGCCGAATCCTAGCCACTAGACCACCAGGGAGCTCTTATTAGGCATTATTTTGCCAATCCCACAGTTTATGATTGCATTTTTTTTTCTTTTTTGCAATGCTTTGCCTAGGGCTGAAGGAAGTGTTGGCAACGTAAAAGGCTGAAAGAGTTCATTTGCAACGAGGAAAACCGTTTGAAATCGAGGGGAGGAAAAGAGGAAGAGGAGAAGGAAGGAAAAAGGGGGAAATGAAAGAAAATAAGAGAGTGAAGGAAAAAAAAATTGAAAAATGAGATAAAAATAAATAGAAGGGTGCTTCAGCTCTCCCTGGTGGTCTAGTGGTTAGGATCCGGCGCTTTCACCGCCGTGGCCCGGGTTCGATTCCCGGTCAGGGAAAGTTAACCCATAAAGTGATTTGGAGCCTCTGTTTTCTTTCTCTGTACCTTTTTTTTTTTTAAGCCTCTTTTTTTCTTCCTTACGCCTCCAATCTTCGCTGCTTACCAAAAAATGGCCGTTTTCGAGGCTCAGGGAAGAATTTGGGTGGAAAAAATGAGCTTTGGTGAATCCTACTGGAAATATTGGGCTACAGCAGCCCTGTGTGGGGTTTCTGTAGTGTAGTGGTTATCACGTTCGCCTCACACGCGAAAGGTCCCCGGTTCGAAACCGGGCAGAAACACTTCACTTTTCGTTCACCTTTTAATTTTTTTACACGTTTATCTCTTTTACACATCCTTATTCTTCTAAGAATCCGTGCTGCCTTTCCCCGTTCTCCCCCGTTCTTTGACTTCTTCTACAAACCCTTGGCACTATTCGCCATTTTTTTCCCACACTTTGACTTCGATCCCCTTCATCTGAGCACCTGTACCACTTTTTTCCCCGTTTTCACCCATTTTTTCACTTAAACCACTTTCTTCCAGGAATCCCTCACGTTTGCAGCCCCTCTTTCCTGCATTTTCGCGCTTATATCGGCCTCTTTTCCATACCCCAACTGGTATTTCCACTTCCTAAGCCACCCCCCAACTCTTCTCCCCCCCTACACCACATTTTGCATTCGCACATCCCAAAGTCAAACCAAAAACAAACAAACAAACAACAAAAAAAACCAAACAGCAACAGAATAAATGCAGGAGCCCTCATGCTCACACATTCCTGCTCCTGCATGGATTTATTTGTTCCCAGGGCATGACCTGGACCAGCAGCCAAAACTCTCAGCCTCCCCAATCAATTAACGAGCACAGCTCGCTGCCGTTAAATTGGGCTTCCCCCTGTTTGCTGCTGACCTACATCCCACGCAGGGGCCGTGTTTCCATTCTTCTATGAACAGACGCAGCCTGGTGGGGAAAATACGGATTTTCTTTCCCTGTTGAGCTGCTTCCAACCTCTTACGTTCACGTTTTTATCCCATTTGTTGATATGGCTGTAGTTGTAAAGGGGCATTTGTGAACCGTTTGGGGGGATTTTGGGGGGTGATTGGAGTCTGGAAATGGGGAATTCTATGCAAAATGAGATCTGTGCAATAAGCGGAGGAAGAGCCAAACAGGGGCTCTGTTTGTCTCCCAGCGAGCAAAGATGCTCAAAAATCAGAGAAAAATCGATATTCTGGGATTCTCGTGGCTGCCAAGGATGAGGAAAGCTGTAATTACAGTAATTAGAGTGCCTCGTCCTTCCGTAGAGGAGCAGAAATAGCAGCGCTCTGCCTGCTTACGCCTTCCTATCGAAGGGGAGGTTTGGGGCTACTTGAGATGAATGCAGATAAAAATCCCATTTGTGTGGGGAGCGGCAAAATGGGGGGAAAAAATGCAATTTTGGGGGGCAAATGGTCACGGTTGGTTTCTATGTGCCTCCCTGGTGGTCTAGTGGTTAGGATTCGGCGCTCTCACCGCCGCGGCCCGGGTTCGATTCCCGGTCAGGGAAGAGCTGGATTAAATCTATACATTATACCCAAAGAAACGTATGTTTTTATTTTTAAACCTCATTTTCCTCTCGAAGCACCCACAGATAAATCGCACAGGTAAATCCCACGGCTCTTTGGTGCAGCCCGGAGCTCTCTCTGTGAGTTGTGCAGATTTGGCATTCCAAAAGAAGGAAAGCAAACCCAATTTTTCTCAGCCCGGAGCTCATTTTGCTCCTTCCCTTTTCCTCCTGCAATGCTCCGCTCTCCCCCTGCACGGTGCACAATTGCAATTAGCACGCTGATTAGTGCTTCACTGCTAATTAACAGCCAGCAGCCCGGCTAGCTCAGTCGGTAGAGCATGAGACTCTTAATCTCAGGGTCGTGGGTTCGAGCCCCACGTTGGGCGTTTGGTTTTATTTTCCCCCTCAATCCTGGGGGGAAAAAAAATTGGGCTATTTTGTGCAACAAGGAATATTGGGAGGAAATATATATATATTAATGGGATTAAAAATATAAAATCACGGTATTTTGTTCGGAAAGAAGCATTGCGTTTGCATTGCAGAGCGATTCCTGTTTGCCTCCTTCAGTGCTGCGTTGTGTATTAAGGTTTTAATGCTGTGTAAACCTTTCCAGCCTGGAGCCCGATGATGAAGAGCAGCAAACCCTGCCCCAATTAACCAGGGAAGGGCTGCAGGATGCACCAATACCTTCCAGAAAATCCCCTTTCTTCAATTTTCAGCACAAAGCTTAGAAATGCAAATATTCAGAGATACCGTGCTCTGTATTTTCAGACACTATACCCTATTTTCAGCACCATACCCCATATTTCCAGATGCTGGACCCCATATTTTTTGATACCGTGTCCCATATTTTCAGATCGAATGTCCCATTTTCAATGCTATACCCTATAATTTCAGATATCGTGCCCCATATTTTCAGACCTCACACCCCATTCTCAAACATCATACCCCCTTTTTTCAAATACCACGCCCCATTTTCAAATATCATACTCTATTTTCAGACACCATGCCCCACACTATCAGACACCCTGCCTCATTTTCAGGCACCATACCT